GTCTGGTGTGCTATGGGGCCAGGCTCCTCCCAGGTGCCGGGCTTCCTGGCTGTTATAACCATGAGAAGTAGATGTTGTCCTCTAAATTACTGCCCTATGGTGTATTTGTCACAGCACCAACCAAACCGGAGCCCAGACCCCAACCACCTCCACCCTGGGCCTCAGTCACCACCACTTTCCACCTGTCCCTATCCCCAGGCACAGTCCGAGGCCACTAAGGGCAGCCCCCTGTCCTAGGGCCTGCAGAAGTGACAGTCTCCTGGTTACTCTGCCTAGGGATAAAGAAACCTGAGTTCAAGAGGTAGCACTCATGTGGGGAGCATCCCACAGCCGGGAACCTCAGAGAGGGACTCTCGGCCCTGGGTCTGGGGAGGCTCCAGGACGCCTTCTCTCTTTGCTCTCGCAGATGGCCCAGGATGCAGCTTCGGTGCCTCTGCCCTTCCCTCCTGACAGTGATAGACGGTCACCGCACCAGCCCGTGAGTACAATCCTCTAAATCTATATTTCTTACCCAGCCAGATTATTTGTCTTTCTGACAGCATTAGGTCCTGGAAATGTAATTTTTTAAATTAAAGGACTTTATAACATAGTTCTCTCCTAAGAGGTCTATCCAGCCCAGATGAGGACATTTATCTCTGGTTCTGTCCCCATGGTGATATTTTAATATTGTATAATTCACTTAACAATGTGCCTATTAATTACAGCAGGATCTTACCACTGCCTTCTTCTGCTAGCCCAGATGGGATAGTTTGAGGAAAGTTTTCCTCTGTTAAAGTATGTGTCAGTTTTCAAAAATAACTTGCAAGTAATTATTACTAAATTAAACTTTCGTCTAAAGGTTCCCACAGTGGGATCTGGGGAAGACTTTGTAACCTATGGAGAGTGCATTCTGTGGGGATCCTGCTGGTCTCCCTGACCCAAGCCTGGCAGAACACAAGGGCTCCGATACGCGCAGCCTGCCCACTGTCAGCTGGCATCTCATATATGCCCCGTTCCCTTTGGTCCCGTTCCCTGTCATGGCTCAGTCCTTGCAGACACAGGATGTGGCAGCAGCTGTAGCCTCAGTGCTGCCTGGGACACATTGTAGGGCTGACTGTCACTGATGGCTACGTATCCCCGTGTGGATCATTTCAAGTTTACCCTTTGCCCAGGCACATTGGGTCTGCTATTGAGGAGGAAACCAGGTAATCACTGCCAGAAGAAGAGAAGCAGACGCTGATTTCAAAAATCACACGGACAGCTCTTCCTATCAGCAGGTTCCATATTCAAGGATTTAACCAAGTGCAAATGAGAAATATTTAAAAACTTGTCTGTACCGAACAAGTACAGACATTTTACTCTTGTCCTGATTCTCTAAATAGCTCAGCATAACAATCTCTTACATAACATTTTAGATATTATTAGGCATTTTAAGTAATCTAGCAAAGATTTAAAGTATACTTGAGGATGTCATTGGTTATATCCAAATATTACATGGTTTGTTATCAGGGACCTGAGCACCCACAGATTTTGGAAATGGAGGGCATCTTGGATATTGAGGAGCAACTCTTATCAGTATTTTGGGAAGGATGCCCTGTTTGTAATGTTGAGATTATTTGTTGTATATACCAGTACTTTGTAATTACAACTCCTACAGCAAAACTATGGCATGATGTGTTCCAAAATAGAATTCCTTAAATGAAAATGTAGTAGAAGAGCTTTCAAAGAAAGAAATAAATTCAGATACAGTCTTAGTGGTTGTGGCAGAATAGTCTTCAGTGCATTTGTTTTCTTTATGAATTAGCCTTTTAAAGAAAGTCGAGTGAAAAGGGGAAAATTGCTCCATAATAAGACAGCAGTAAAGGCAAAACACATCTTTTTACTAGATTGAATAAAAAAAACGACAGTAAGAGATTAAAATAGGGACACACTGAGTGCTAGGAAGGTAGAGGATGTGACTGTGGATTTGCTGACGAGCTTTCTTCCCTGGGATGACATTTCTGAACAATTTAAAAGCCCATTTGTACACATGAGAAGGCTGCACATACAAGTGCAGGGGCTCTGACTTACAGTAGGATTACATCATGATAAATGCACCATAAATTGAAAATGTGACACGTTGAGGAGGCATCACCACACTGCTGGGCCTAGAGAATGATTCCTCAAAGTGTGGGCCTTGGAAGCAGCCTCAAGAGCAGTTTCTCTCTGACTGCCTTCTGCCCACCTGCCCCTAGTTCCTCTCTCCTCTCCAAGGCAAGTTATAGAAAGTGCCATCCCTCTGGCCTGATGTAGGTCATAGAAACCAAAGCCCTGTTCCCCCAAGGATGATGATAAAACCTACAAATATTGCTCTAACTTCCCCCAACTTTCTGTGGAAGAGGTGGCAATAAAGAACTTAGGACTCTGATTCCATGCAGGTCCTGCCTTCTCCCTGGAAGAAAAAAATGCTAGAGCTGAGAGGCCGGCAAGAACCAGGAAAGACTGGCTTGTGGTCCTGCCCCTTGCTTTACCACTAGTCACTCGGGTCTTGTTGCCCAGTCCTATTTCTACATGGCTATCTGTGCTTCAACAAGCCTGAGCACAAAAATGAAGAAATCATCTGAGCCTTTGCATTTTCAGGCTGATGTCCCTGAGCCGTACAAAGCCATGTGCACTGTCCAGTACATGTCAGAGAGCTTACTGTCTCCTCTGCCTTTGCCCAGCCTCCTGGACACACTGAATCTGCCTGGGAAACCATCTGAATGTCTATCACCTTTGCACCACAGAGTGGAAAAATTGAAAGTTGAACCACTGTTAAATTGAGAACTGTCTATACAGAAAATGTGGCAATAAGTTTGATATTTAAGTTACAAAATAATGAAGAGAATACACATTGCTATTTTTTTTCTTTTTAAATACAACTAATTCTGACCTGATACATATATTTATTTAGTTTAGTTTTATTTATTCTGCTATGAGCCCTTGGTGTCCCCCCAAAGATAATGAAATAAATCACTAAAGCACATTCTTGTTGCCATAGGTGATGGAGAGGATTGTATGTTCTTGTGCTTCAGGGATAAAGAATTAGATGTGGCACACAGTGGCAAAGAAAGCAGCAAAGTGTCAGTGAGGTCGCAGTGTGCTTGGAGTGAGGAGAGCTTGTGTCCACAGAAAAGAAAGTGGCACCAGTGCCGAGCACACGGAGCTAAGAATTTAAAATGTTGTGTGGTGTCTGGAATGCCTCCCATTGGGTCTTTCAGGACATGGTTGACAAAGGGATCGACAGGGTACTAAATTGGGTCAGCTGTATCCACTCCTCTCCATGAAGGAAGCGTACTTCAGGTCATGCAGGAGGACCTGGCACGCATGTGTCTTCTCGCTGCCTCCCGGTAGTGCGCCTCTGGACAAAGGCTGGCAGCTGGTGCTGGGGCATTGCCCAGGTTCATCTGAGTGAAGGGAGCGAGCCATTAGCCCTAACTGAATTATCTGTGTGCTTCACATGAAATCACTCATATTAATTATAGTTCATCTCTGACAGGATTCACACATACACATATACACACACAGTTGAATTCAGAGTCCAACAAAAAAGCATATGCACTCCTCAGCAGTTCGCTGTACTAATAAACACCTGGAAGCTGATGGCCACCACTCCAAGTGCCTCTTATCATTGCAGAGGTCAAGGTAACGTGTACAAATCTCACGCTGTCTCAGTAAACCTGGTATTAAAATATTCATACAAGTTTTTCCTTTCCTGACGCATCCATTTGTTGTGTACAGAAGTAGAAACGGAAGAGGAATTTCATGGAGTTGGCGAAGGCTAAGTGTGGGCAATCGATGTTCAGAAGAGCTTTCTGTGATGACAGCCTTGGCCCCCCACGTACCATCCTCTATCACACTCCTGACGACAGCCATGGTCCCCCACGTACCATCCTGTATCACACTCCTGGCTATTGGGCGTTTAAATGTGGCTGTTGCCACTGAGAAGCTGAATTTGAAACCTCACCACATATTAGTTAAAGCAGATTCCCACATGCACATGTGGCAGTGGCTCCCACGTTGTTATCCAGCAGGTCAAGAGTGCTGACAGCTTGAAGGATGTTGGAAGTGTGAGTAAATTCTGAATCATGTCAGAAGAAAAATCTGATGCCAGCAGAGAACCCCACAGCTGATATATGTTTTAACCATTGTGCAAGAATACTTTGTGTCACGCTGTTAAGCGACATTTGTACCATGCCACTTGGGGCCGGACACGGAGGGCGGAGCACACTGTCCCCTGCTCCTCACAGGCTTAGCGATGTCCTGGAGGCCCCAGGCACCCTTGGTCCCCACTGATCCACTGCCCTGCAGAGGCTATTGGCCTGGCTGTCACTTAGCCTCCCTGCCCACCAGCTGGGCAGACCTGCCAAAGCAGTCCTACTGTTAAAGCACAGCTTGTTAAGGCTTAGCAAAGTCGAAATTTATTTTATCTGACAAAATACATCTTGCTAAGTGTGCATAGATGGTTCTGAGGCAATGTTGCGTATGTCTCATTAAAATAGAGAACGGTGGACTTGGGAAGGACCCCACCACTCCTCTGTGCATCCAGCGTTTTCACTTTCACTTCGTAGATAAAGGGATGGAGCTCAGAGAAGCTGTCATGCCTTCAGCCAGACAGTTAATCAGTGCCAGAGAAGAAGCTAGAATTCCCGTCTTCTTCTTATCCAGCTTCTTTTTAGTCCAAAATGTGGTTTATCTGTGTTGTATCTGGACACACAGCACATTTTTGACAACATTTCAATATGAGAGACATGCTGCTTGATTAACAGTGCTCTCCTGAATCTTCATTTCCTTCCAGTGTCTCCTGAATGGATAAAGCCCATTTCTGATGAAAGAATTCAGCTCAGAGAACTCACTTCACTGCATTCAAATCAGCGCCTTAAACAATCTGCACTGGGAGCCTTTGTTCTGGATTCCACTGTGAGGTGATAATGAGGTGCAGAAAACTAATTAGATCATCAGACAGAGCTGTCTGGTTGCCATCTGCTGAGGCTGGAGAGGGGAGTCCCTGGCTGAACCCAGACTAGGGACTAAAAATAGCCACTTCCCTGTTCCTTGTCCCATTTTTGCCTGGGCTAGTGGCTCTGGTCTCTCAGCTGGATGGGAGGTCTCAAGAGCTGCTCATAGCCCCCTGGGTTCTATCAGTTTTCCCGTGGGGGTCACTCCTACCTCTCATGGGAGAGCACTCTTAGTGGATGCATTTACAGGGAGTAGAGACGGCTGTGGGTCCAGGCATGTTATTCATATGGGCCGAGTCGTCATGCCCCAGAGCACGTGTTAGGCAGTGTCTGCTGCTGGGATGTGTCATGAGCTCTTGGGCCAGCTTTGCAGGTGACCCTGATATCCCTGTGCCGTTTTACCATGGATGCTAATTGCTCCTTCCTTTGGGACTAGGTATCCTTTCTTTATTCCTAACATACCATTCTTCTATTTTCTAGGAAGAAACCTTGCTGTCCTAGGTTGTGAACATGCTAAGACGAACTCACTATTGTATACCTCGTCCTCACCAGGAAGGCAAGAAGTTTCCAAAACAGGTGGGAATTTTTCTTATGTATAAAGTATAATAAAAAAAAGATGGTGAACCTTTACATTTTAGGACTGTATTACAATGAAAGACACATTGGTATTAATTCTTGTCAGAATACTGCCCCTCACCCTGGACACTCTTATCCCATCATTCTTGTAGTCCTGGAAGTCCACTTGTGCTTGTTTTTAGGTATTCTGTCCTGTCTGCCTTTGTGTCCAGAACCACTCAGAGCATTGACCTTTATCATCATTTTGACTGTGAAGAAGAGCTAGTGCCATATCTGTTAATAAGTTGGAGAAATATGATCATGTTTCTGTTGCACAGATATTGCTATAAATGAGAGGTGATCATAAAACAAGGAGACATTAAATTTAAAAATATTGTAGTTGGGCCAGGGATTTAGCTCAGTGGTGCTGCTGCCTTCCTCGCAAGCACAAGGTCCTGAGTTTGATCCTTGATACTGAAAACAAACATTATATAAGGTAAACACAATGTTATTACTCTTCTCAGAATACTCAGAATATTTCCATACCCCTCCTGTGCTCATACAGTTATCCCATTGCTCCTAGCAATAAATCTTTTTCTTTAATAAGATTTAACAAACATTCACTGTATCTTCTGCTCACCCCTTGTATATGCCCTTGGGTTCATTGTTCAGGGCTCTCTGGGGAAGTTCCCAAACTCTGGAGTTGGTCCACAATGACAGTGTGTGACATGTACGCAAAGGATCACTGTCACATTATCCTGGCCATTTTCATATCATGATCCAGAACTGAAAAGTCAGCTTCTTTTAGAAAATCAGTCAACTCACATACTCAAGTATAAACCAAACAGGAAAGGGTATTTTCCATTTTCAGTGGACCACAGCCAGAAATCAGTCATATTTGCATTAATACTAAATGACACTTTTGGTGTTGGACTAAGATTGCTCTTTACTGATAATTCTTCTCGTACAGGTGAGATATTTTTTAAGTTTTACTTATGCCCTGAAAAAATCCAAGTGTCTTTCTACCTTCTTTTAAATCCATGTTTTCACTCCAAACAGGTCTTTTTCACCCTTTACTTAACATCAGCCACAAAACCTCTTTGTTGTCAAAAAGTAACATCTCTAAACTTGTCCGTGATTGAAAATAAGTGGAGAAGAATCTAAACAGCAATCACCATGGAAACAGACAAGCACGAAACCAAAGGAATGAACACAAACCAGCTGTCCAGAAGCAATATTAGAGGAGTTTCAGGCATGGTCCTAAATCTTTCAGACCTGAATCCCTGAATTTCTTCTTCTATCTCTATACACATTTTCCCAGGATACGTTAAATGACAGTGTCACATGACTATCTATTCTTTATGTTTTAATTTTTGGCTCCATCCTGAGACACATTTTTATTTTTCGTTTTGAGACAGGGTCTTCCTAGGTGCTGTAGTCAGGGTTTTGGCAAGGGAATACATTTAATACAGGACAAATTATTTATAGGATTATTGTATAATATTCACCCAAAAAGTCAAAGGTAGAGGAATGCAAGAGATTAGCCCCACACTAGGGACCCCGAGGATGCTGGGCCTGGACCCCACAGCAGTGTCCCACACAGTCCAACTGAAGGCCAAGAGCCCAAGACAGTGTCCTCTGTGAGTCCAGACAGTGCCCTAGCACCTGTGGCAGTGTCTCATGTATCCGTATTGAGGATCTGCACTGCGAAGACCCAAAGGCCAGTGGTGGAAGCCAGAAAACCTATGTTGGAGGGATGAAGGATTTGTGCCACTAACCCAAGGGATCTGCCCTGGAACCAGGTGAAGATCAGAGCTCCCCTAAGGAGAACAGCAGCCATTCTCAGTGACAGTGAGGTTCTGAGCTCCTCCTCTGATGAGAACAGCCAAGTTTGCATCAGGAAAACCATCCACAGCAAGCTTCTCCAAGAAAATCAGCGCCCATGATCTTCCCCTCCAGATCTCTTTTTATTCCATTAACAACCACCCTCAGGTGGATCCTCCACGTCCAACCAGGCTGATCTAGTTCAGCTGGGCATTTCAAGTTGACTATTGGTTAATCCACCACACCAGGCCAGGCTCCATCTTGCAGTCCTGCCTCAGGCTTGCATTGTCCTGGGATTACAGGTGTGTACCTCCACACCTGGTTTACCGCCCACTCTATCCTTATGAGACTTTAAAGTGCCAGACCCACCTGCTTTCCCCCAACCTACTGAATGCAGGTAACATTGGGACACCCCCGCTTTCCACGTTGACTTTCTCTGTGTCCATGTGCATATCCTGGCCCTATCCTCCAGGCTGCTATCTGTTTTCGCGCCATATTTGCGCTACAGGACTTGTAGTTTGGATGCTGGACTCCTGCTCCTCAGCAGGAAGTTTTAAAGATGGCTGCTCTGAATTTGCTAGAAAGGCCAAACCTCAGCCCCACCCTGGGCGGGAGAATCACTTCCGTCCTTAGTCACAGCCTCTGAAGCTCATGTGAGATTTAGGGTTTCTCCATCTTGGACTCCAAGCCCTGGCTTGTGCACCTGTCCCACCCCACACCTCTCCTGTGGGGTCGTCTGAGTGGCCTTTGCCCCTTGCTCCTGAGCGCAGGAGTCGCACTCAGCTCTTCCCATCTCTCACAGTGACACATTGTGGTGTTTAGTTTTTACTGTTCTGCATGTGTTCTCCTCCCTCCAGGGATTTACAAATTCCCTCAAAGGCAGAATCCTCTTCTGAGTCTTCTCCCTGTTGCACCAAGTGGCCTGATGTACACGGTTCCGCTGTATCGTGAGGTTAGCGAATGAAGTGTGTGTGACCCTTGCAGGAAGAGGGCGCCGGTTGGGGTTTGCTTTTGGAAAGTGTGTATGTGGGAGGGCTGGAACTGTCAGTGACCCGGCAGGACTACAAGGAGGAGAGGGAGTGGTGCAAAAATCTCAGCTCAGGGTGGCTCCTGTTGTAAGGACCAAGTTTTCAGGTCGAGGTGGGCTCCCTCTGGGCCCCTTGCCCACAATAAAGCTATAAAAATTCCATTCTATATAACTCCATTCTGTATGAGAGTCTCCCTGTGTTTCTGTTCCTCTTTTTAGGGCATCTCTGTTTTAGGCTACCTCCACCCTGTGTTTCTGTTCCTCTTTTTATGATCTAAAAATAAATCTCTCCTGCTTATCCCTGCTTCAGATAATCAATAAGAACTGATCCTGGCATTATTCAGTTTAAGATAATCACGTGTTCTGTCAGAACGTAGGTACTAGTAATTTTCCATAAGCGCCCTCCCAGTACCCCTCAAATATCCAAAAATAAGTGGAAGATAAAAATAACATCTATAAAAAGAGAAAGCCTCCTCAACCCTATATAGTCCTGCTTCAAAGATGGGTCTGGACTCTCGGTCTAAAGCTGCTGTGATGGTGACACCCGAGGGTCCAAGCTTGATCTTGCAATAAACTCCTCTTGTAATTGTATCAGACCTGACTCCTTGGTGCTCTTTAGGGACTTTGCGACTTGGGCACAACACTGTTAAGCCCCTCGCCCCAGTATCCAATGCTCATTTGACTCCTGTTCCTGTGGGATGATAGGTTAAGAAAACATCCAGGACTCTGGAGGAACACTCTGATTCCATATGCAAGGCATATGATAAGCACTGCACATGGTTAAGGCTGCATCTCCCTTTCCCTGGCTAACTCAGCCAAACTAGGAAATCGAATCAGTTACCTTGTTGTGAAGAAATTATAGAGTGGCGGCCTCTCGATGAAGTTATTTTCTGCTCATCTTGTTTACGAAGAGAATTTGAAACAAAATTAAAAAAAAAACCATAAGGGAAATGATCTGAAAGAAAAAGGAAAAGGAAATCTTTCATAGTTGGTTCTCAATTGTGAGCACAAAATTCATCAATGAACAGAACCTCCTCTGTAAAGTTTCTGGAGCTCAAGTGTGAAGAAAGTCTGAGGTTTGGCAATGAGGAAGGAGGGAAAGGTCCCTATCACCAGATGAAGAAGATGCCTGCGCCTTCCTTCAGCACTGTTGTCCAGTGGGACACGTGTGTGTGCCATGGAATGTGTGTGCGCACCGAGGAGCAGAACCCATACCAGTGACTCATAGCCATCGTCCTGGATAAACTCCGAGGGCAGAACCAGGAGGTTCAGTCCCTGCAAGGACATTTCCCTGCCCTGCCCCTCCTGGGACAATCCCTGCTGTCTACAGCAGCAACGCATCAGTCCAGTACGGCTCTACCCAGGGCGCACACTTGGATGCTAGTGATTGACAGATGATTCACCAGCGCAGTTTGTGAGAGTGTGCACTCCCCAGCTTCCGCTGATGCCCTCAGCCCTGAGTAAGCCCTGGGGAACTGGTGAGCAGGGAGCGGGTAACAGGAATTGGGGGCTCAGCTTGGAGCACCCGGCTGACTGAATCAGCATGGTGCTAGGTGCAGAGGACCCACCTGAGGATTGTTTCCAAAATGAGACCTGGAGGGGAAGATCGAGGGCTGTTCATTCTCTAGGAGAAACTCAGTGCAGCTGGTTTTCTGGTGTGAACCTGGCTGTTGGGTCTGGCTGCTGCGTCTGTCTGCTGCTCAGGGCACCCCACTATTTAGAGCTTCTGTTCTTACCAGGAGGATGATGCCTTCCCACCCTAGGTGTGTCCTCTTGGCCTGAGGAGGAGAATTTAAGGGTGAAACACGAGGGTTTTTAGGCCTCAGCTCACCAAACATTTCCCTCCTCTCTGCTGCCTCCAGTCTCCTGGAATTGTTTGTAGTATCACTAAAGATTTTAGAGACAGAAAATTTTATAAACTGCCAAACTCTGTGACTCCTCGTTCTATTTTATTTTCCTACTTCTCATAACTCCCACAGCTTCACCCTAAGCACCACAGACCCTCCATGTGGCAAAGTAAAAGGTTATACACCTGAGCTCTAGCCTGTGCCATTGAGCAGATGTTTTTCTTTCATAGCAAGGTACACACTCACTCACACACACAGTTTTGTTTTCATTTTCACCCACCTGTAGGTACGAACCATAGTCCTGTTCAAGAGTTACTGGTGTTTATGACAAAGTGAACCTGGAAAATCTTTGTCCCAAGGTCTAGGATGGGAAGAACTTAGAGGTAGTTAGTGAATTCCTATTATGTGACAAGCAGTTGTAGGAGGGTCTCCAGCCTTGTCCCACTCCATGTGGCTCCTGAAGGCAGCAGTTGGGCCAGTGTTGGGGTCTATCCTCCCTCTCTGATGTGTCCTGATGAGGGGCCTGTCCTGTCCCAGGCATTGCTCTTGGGGTAGCAAAAATCTGCCCTGCACAGCTTGACAGCCTGGCAAGAGAAGGTTTTCATGAGCCCTAAAATAGGTGCATATATTTTCCCAATAATTTCCCACTTGAAGATCCTGGGATCCAAACTTGGAAAAGACCAGCAAGACAACACCTAAACTGTCGCGAGCCGGCGACGCACAGCACTGTCCAGCAATGTCTCAAACCTGAAAGAGCAGCGGGGTGGAGATGGGGCAGAGAGAAAGGAAGGACACAAAGACAAGAGTCTGATCAAGGCGACGTTTATTGCAGGCAGGCATCAGCCTTTTAAAGGAAAAGACCGAACTATTATGGGCTAGGATTACCATAGTAACCTCAACACCCGCTCCACGGGAACAAGGGTTCACACGGGAAAGAGAAAGCAGGCTCAAGAAAAACAAATTAACAACACTTGCAACTAATAATCATGATTCCCAAATAGGTGGAGGAACTTAACAAAATGGAGTTACAACACCTGACTCCTACAGATAACGTCAGATCTTTAACAGGAAGCACCTGACTCCTACAGATCATTGGCTGTCCGAGTTTCTCCCGTGCAGGGTCAAAAACAAGTTTAACACGTGCAGTCCTTAAAAAGGAACAAATGTTATCTTTCAAAAAGCCAGTGGGCCATGGCTGGCTTCCCACAAAGCAACATGTCTTGTTTCCAGGGCTTTCACCAAGAAAAGACAAGTGAAAGAGTGATCCAGATACATTTTTCAGGACATTTGATGCAATTTCATAATTGGCACCATATCTGTGCCTGAATCCACACTTCCCACACCTCCAGTCATGTTAAATAACATTTTTCTGATTTGTTTTTGAAACGTAACACATTCCCTAAGGGACAGTTTATAGAGCAAATACCTTACTGTCGCGAGCCGGATTGCCTTGGGCAACTCGGTCTGCGACTACAGGGGCCTGAACTGGCAACGCGTGAGCAAAGAGGCACACACTTGATACACAAGGAGTTTACTTTAGTTCCTCATCTCCGGATCTCTACCCCGCTCTCTGTGCCCGGAAGGGGTGGCAACATATATACCATAATGCAACCAATCAG